ATAACGGAGGAGTGGAAGAAAAGGCGAGGAGGGTCGAGGAAGAAGGACGAAGAAGAATACGAAGACGAAGAAGAAGAAGAAGAAGAAGAAGAAGAAGACGAAGGAGGAGGAGGAGGAGGAGGAACGTGCCCCGTTGTGCGGCTCGAGGAGGGAGGAAGAAGCGAGGAAATAGTAGGAGAGAAAAAAGGAGGCACGACGATCGGGCAATAAATAATATAGGAGAAAAAGGCGATCGCCTGCAACATTCTGCTCAAATGTTAAATAGGTATCAATTTAACGGCGGCCAATAGGCGAGCGGGTGGGCGGGGCCACGTTGGACAGGATTGGAGCGTGGCGCGGTGGTGGGCGATACCCGCGGGTCGGCACGTCGGATCGTGGCTCGAGTCGCCGCACAACCGTGGTCGGGATGAAGCATCTGGTCTCTCCGGTTCCCTCACAACGTCCCGTCTCTCTCGTCGCGGCCGACCTGGATTCACGTCCCAACTCACCACGGATCCGGAGTTCCCCGTGCGCGGCAAACACCGCCCCCTCGATCACCACGTGAGCACCTCCTCCGGTCTTTCCTCTTCCGTCTGTGTCTCGTCGACTTTCCCCCCTTTTTTTTTCTCTCCTTTCCCCCTCCTCCCTCGTAAAGTAAATCTGGCGATCGATCGATCCCTTCTTTCCCTTCTTTTTCCGCTCGTCGGATCGCGCGACTCTCGATGGACCAAGGGTATCGAGAGGATCGAGGATCCGGGCTGAGAGCGCACACGGTTCGATCGGGACCGGCCTCGTGATATTTCTTTCCCGTCGTTCGTTGCTCACGACGGAACGGACGGTGCATGTATATTTTTTCGTTCTATCCCGAAACGAAAAGTGAAACGAAAAGTAAGGAAAAGTGGTCTGACTGATCTGGTTAACTGGTGATACTTGTGCATGGTTGAGCGAAACTGTTCGTGGATGGAAACAGTGCCCCAACGGAGTGACGTTTAAGAATAATCGTGATTCCAAGTTTCTCGTAGAGGAATATCAAAAGAAATCTACGACGTTTGACGGACAACATGGCCGTCGAGCGAATCGGATCTCTGGATGAACGTGCTACATCTTCCTTCCTCCGCCGTACGATTCAAGCGTAACGATCGATATCGATATCAATCTCAGAGTACGTATCCTTTACTTAGGATACTTAGCTGCAAGAAGCTGGCCGGATGAGCGCAGGATGAGCATCCGAAGCAATTTCCGGTGAAGGATCGGGAACGAAGGATCAAACGACACCGCGTAACGATTCGATTCGATTCGAGGGATCATGTCGATTCACGGCGACAGCGACGTGGACGCGACGGAAGAGATAAACGTGGACGACTCCGACTCGGCGAGTTGCAGCCCCCGCAATTACGCCAACGACGGCGATTCCCCGCCCCCGAGTCAAAC